TACACCCAGAACACATGACTATTAAGGGTATAATGAGCTAGTTCCTACTAAATAGGGTTAGTGATACACCCAGAACACATGACTATTAAAGGTATAATGAGCTAGTTGCTACTTAGGGGTTAGTGATACACCCACAACACATGAATAGGTAACCGGTCGTTTTGCTACCACGCACTTTCGCTACCATGAATATTAAGGGTATAATGAGCTAGTTCCTACTTGGGAGTTAGTTAGGGGTTAGCAATGCTTAGTTACATACAACATGCAGCTGTAAAGAGTTTTCCATAGCCATTACTACATCTTGATACCACTACTAACATTATCCTTTCACATGCTTTCAGTATAGTACTGAGTTCGACCCCTTTGACCTGCGCTGTAGTACTGAGTTTGACCCCTTTGACCTGCGCCACTGCTGTACTTTGGGGTGGTGATTAGTGATGACAAGTTTTTGTAGTTCCTTTTGTTCGCCTAACTAACACCATTATCTTGTGTGATGAAAGTACCTTTCAAACCTTTTTCTTTCTGTATATATAATCATATTGAAATTCATCCTGAATTGTGATTGAATGTGAGGCTGGATGGGCAAAAATGTATTGTTCCAGCCAATACGGCTGCAGCATGAAAATGATCATGAAGAGGATTCTTGTATGAGTGGTATCAAGAATGAATATGGGAAATAATAATAATAATAAATAATAATATCAAATCATAGTTATATAGTGCATCCTAAATGAGGAATGTTTCATGAAGTTAATGCTTCATGCTTTACCTTCACTCTATGATATTAGTCATTATGTATAACTGTTATGGTCTGATGCCCACTACATATAACTAAGTACCTTTTTTGAAGCACACTGCATGGCTTTGGAAAACATGATGTGTAATATTTCTTGTAGAAGAGGGTCTTGGATGTCATCAATGTACGCCTTGTATGTCATGCACGTCAAATTCTGAAAAATCATGACGGTTTTACAGCAGGTTTTTTAAACAAATTTTGCAGCACACCCTAACATTTTTGTGTTTCCATGGAAACCTGTTGTACTAATGAGGTGGTTGGTTGGTGTGTTACCTCTAAGTGAACCCTTCTTGACGGCTGAATCTTGTGCAATTCCTCAACAATACTGTTGATCTCTTCTGGGTCAAAACTCAACCGGAGATTTTGCTGTAGGTAGCCACACTTTAGATCCTTGTCATCTGTATCAAACAGTTCCAAAAATAACAGACCCTTTCAGCATGGGCATAGTGTTTTCCCATTCAGACCACGTCATTCCCTAGAGTATCCTTTGGTTTGTTTAATATTGAGAACACACATGGATATGAATACAACTCAAGTTTAGAAATAATCTAATTCTCAAGGGAATGAGATAACAATAATGAAATCATAATAAATAATAACACATGGTCTGAATAGGGAAAATATTATCCACAAGCTGAAAGGGTCTATTAACAACATGACCAACACAGCCCCTAACATCTGGAAACACTAGCTTTTGCTTTAGATTCATGCACCAGATGAAGTAGGTTTTGTTTGAAATCAAAACCATATCCCTCCATCAAAGTGGAAATGTCATGGAAAAGAAAAGATTGATGTTCACCAATTGTAATGCAAATGGTACGATTCCTTGCATGCTATATGGAGCCTTTCACTAGTGATATATTTCTGGGTTAGTACAACTGCTAACGAAAACTGCTGATTAAAATAAAACTGAATTTGGTCAAAAAGCATGACATGAAGATAACTAAGGCCATAATTAAATATAAAATTTCAACTACAAACTTAAGTTTTAACTAAGAACCATACCACTTCTAAACATTGGGTAAGTATTGACTGAACTGTACTTCACTGGATTCACTTCCATCTTCTTATCAACTTGGTCATTATCAGCCTATTTCAAATAATATTTTACGAAGAGTATAATAAAAAATTGAGCTTTATGACTTTGAAATGCTTCTCTTTAAGAGCATAAAATAATACAATTTGCTGTTGCAACAAAATTGTGTTTAATTGGTGGAAGTCAATCATGACAAGTAATTACCTTGACTTTGTCAAAGGAATTTGTTTTAAACACATGTGCCTAAGAAGTGGCAGCATGAGATGCCTTGACTGACATCCACTAACACCTACTTTGTTGTTGTAACAACAAATTGTCTCAATGTGCAGTCTCAGAAATTATCAATACCCACCCCCTCCCCCTCCCCCTCCCCCTCCCCGATGGAGGAATTTGGAATTTCAGAGGGATGGGGTTCAGAGAAAGAACAAAATTACAGTTTGTGTCAGTTTGCATGTAATTAAATGGGAAATTCCAGGGGTAGGGGTGGGGTCTTAATAAAATCCCCCATGTGGGTAGGATATTAATTCTGGAATGACACAATATCCATCACAATAAGCCTTTTCATAGTTTAAGAATCGATTCCACTGCGCAAGCGATTTTATCCCGAATTCACCTTCTTTTGTTTAATTAAGAAAAAAAATCACATGCGCAGTAGAATTGATTCTTAAACTATGAAAAGGCTTATTTGAGTTGGATTGATTGGGATTTATGATTTCGGAATTTTTAGATGACAGCCTATTATTGAAAAACACCAGGTACTTCAGCTTTTAATTGAGTGTGCATGGGCTGAAATCAAATGTTCAATGTAACTGGATTGGTAAATAACTTGCTTACCTTAAAATCACCAAGAAATATTTTAGCTTCAGAGTTTTGTGCTACTTTGAATCCATCTTCAAAACAGCTACACAACAAACTAAAATAATAAAGTACAGATTTTTAAAATCAACTCTCATCAGTGTTTAGGTCCCTCATTGAAGGTTTTTGTTATCTTGGTAACCAAATAAAGTATATCAGGTGCAGATGATGTAAGGAGGGGCTGATGGATTTCAGCTGATGGGGTAATCTTTTATGACCAAAATATCCAGAATTCCAGTAATATCATTTCTGGAAACCATATTCTGACCTTATTCTATATCAGTTTTGTTGGGATCATGTGCCCCTAGACCTTCTTTGGTTTTATTTTGCATTGTCGGGGTTGTGAATTATCAAGGGTGTATTCACACTAGGCCGACAAAATTTGTTCAGCCCAAAATTGCTACCAATGTTTGTGCCAAGCAAAAATCTAGAATAATAAGATTATAATAATTTGTCGAAGTGCAAATGCCCATCTTTTTTTTTTTGTCTTTGAACACCTATGAAAAATAAGTTATAAAAACAGTATGTTTTGATGCTTGTCCCAGATTTGGAGGCCTCAGTCTAGACAACAGCTTTAACTTTGAATTTTTTATTTGGTTGACTGAGACAAATATTGGCTCAATGCAAAAAAAAAAAACAACACTTTTCTCAGCAGGATGATGGCAGAATTTTTAGTTAAACAAACAAAAATTGGTCTACAGGTATATTGTCTATTGCTGAATTTATATGACCCCCCCCCCTTTCTCAGATTCCAGGATCTGTCCCTACTAATTGAAAGTAAGCTTTCAATAACTGGGCTCAGATTTCCTTACTTACCAAACAAATGACTTCAAAATCTGAAATATTGAATCCTTGTCCAGGGATTGCTTGAATGTGTTGGAATCCTTAATTTGTAACGTCTGTACACATAACTGGTAATGGAAGAAAAAATATATTGAAAAAGAAATCAAGAGTAAATCTTACTAGAAGTCTGTAATTCAATGGATCTACATTCTCTTGAGATTAATATTCTTTTTTTTTGAGTCGTATCCATATTTATGATTGTGTCTCCTAATGCTCAACAATTAAACAAAGAAATGATAATCTAGAGAATGATAAGTGGTCTTTAATGGGATAACAGTGGTTTAATAGGTCTATTCCTCATGATCTCACACCCTTATTTCAGCTTCTCTCTCAACATTGAATGACCTTAAAACACAGCACTAATGTAGAAAAGGGACACTTTGTACTTTATGGAAGACTAGCTACAAGTACCAGGGTCTGAAAGGATATTCCCAGGAGCAAGGAATAGATAAATTATAGCACAGTGTCTGGGAAACTAGAAAAAAAATCTTATGTTATTTGGGATATTGGCAAGGGCCATGACTCGGAATTGCTGCAGAATTAAATATCCGGAATGTGGGATTTTGCTTTGTGATTTACGGGAAATACCATGAAAACATTAATAAATAAAAACAAAATCATGCTCTTTAAATATGCTGAATGTGGGCAAGATGTTATGGGCCACAGGATTTTGGGGGAAAATAGGGAGTGATTAGGGATCAGGACCCCCCTTACAGACCCTGAAGTACCAGTATGTTGAAGGAACTACACTCAATTAGAACATTACCTTTACTTAACATTTCCTTAAGGTCAACAATAATAGTTCCTATGATGTCCAATAACAACACTTACTGACAAGATGCATTCAAGGTRWTCTTTGGTGCTTGTCTTTAAGCCACTCCAAAAATCAGAGTCAGTCAGTTGACCCTCTAGAACTAGTCTTATAATATTACAGGCTTCAATCTGCTGCTGCAGGCTGCCAGAGTGTTCTTTTTCCAGTGATTTTCTGTAATCCATGGGAAGTTCTTGTTGTATGTTATCAGTGATGAGAAGCTGCAAGAGGTCCTTCAAATGAAGATAGGAAAATCTTACACTAGCTATATTAAAACGGGCAACTATTTAACATTAAAGAATAATATAATAATGCTGCAATACTAGTAGTACTACTTAATTTAAACTGTATATTGATGATGATGATGATGATGATTATGATTGCAGATTCTCATAATTATAATACTGTACTACTAAAAAAGATAAACAATGATAATGAAAATAATTATAATTATAAYAACAATGGACATTTTAGTGATTTTAATGATAGCAATATAATAATGAAAATGATAGCAAACATTCAAGATACTGTACATACAGTATAATAGCAAAAATTAAGGAAAGTAAAGATATATAATAGTGCAAGGGCTCAGGATTGTCATGACACCATTACTAACGAGCTACTGAGATAAAATTAATGAAAAAATAATTTATAAAGAAAAAAGATAATGGAGTCATGATGACCTTTGCTCTATTAAAGGTTAGTATTGATTGAACTAAAACTCAGTTTTAAATAAGAACAGAAAAGAAAAAGAAAGGTAGATGAAAATATAATCTCAAAAGTTCTAAAAAACTCATAAGATGAAACAGTTACTGTATTGTGAACAATCCGCACCGTACGGTAAGGTGTCGGTAAGTGGTCAGGAAGTGGTCGGGAAGGTGTTGGTAAGTGGTTGGTGAGTGGTTGGCCAACCACTTACCGACACCTTACAGTACGGTGTGGATTGTTCACAATAGTCAAAAGAAACAATACTCCATTTTACAGTTCCGTTGAGTGGCCAAAAATAAAAAAGTATAGCTTTGCTGTGTGTGGAAACTCCTGCCTTGGAATGTAGTATATTATCTAATCAGTGGTCACTGCTCAGATTCCCACAATGGAGTATTATTATGTATTAACCACAAACACTTGCTGCAATATACTAACAAGGAATGCACTTGCAATGGGCTCCCTGTGCATTTATTATCCCAACTATTTTAATTACATTCTCAACCCTGTAAAAACCTTTGATWAYCCACCTTAAAGGATGAGGATTTATAATGCTGCACTTGTTCCAGCAAAGAATTACTGTGTTGTCTCTCTTCAGACATGGTGTCTGTTGTACTGTCTGTTGTATTGTCCAATAAACCAGAACAAGACATGTAATAGCCATGTAACATATCTTCTTGGACTGTATAACACGATGACCTGCAACACTATAGGAAATAAATAACACATGTCATTAATACACTGTAAATCTCTATCAGCTCCTTTGTGTTTGTTGTGATACAACAGCATGAGATGAGTGGCAAACCAACACTACAGAAGACAAGAGAATACAAGACAAGACAATAGTACAATATTTATTTAGTACTAACATTACAAAGTGTGTTAAAACTCTGTAGCTTATTGTGTTTGATGTGACACAAGACATGCAGTGAGATGACACAACACAAGACATGACAGGAGACAACACAGCAAGGAAGGTACATATACCCAGAAATTATTAATACAATAAAAGCTTTTAAAACCTGACAACTATAATTGTTTTGTGTGAAACAACAAGACAATAAGATGACAATTGCATAAGAAAACAGGAGAGAAGACAAAACGAGATAAGGTGACACAGTTTTATGTATCTAAGAAATTATTAATACTACAAAAACTGAACTCTACTGATAGCTGTTTGTATTTTATTTTATTGCAATTCCCAATCACAATTCACCAACTAGAACTTCATCAAAAAGGAAAAATTGAGTTTTGGTGGACGTCAATCAAAGGGTTTTTTGAAAAATGTCTAAGGATTTCTGACATTGAATTTGAAATGCTTGACTGTAATTAGCCAGTGGTATTGAATTAACTTACTGATCTTGAAGACACTCAAATCAAAGTCAATAGCTATGTTTGACATTTGGAACTGGAATCCTGTGACATTTTTTGAGAAAATATATCCTGAGCAAGAAATTCACAGCAACATGAAGCATGAGTAATGGCAAAGAATAGTGATTGCACGTTTGCATGTTTTCACATTTGCAGGACTGGTGTATGTTATTTCACATGTCATTTAGTATTAATTGCATCAGTGCTGCAGTAGAGACCAATTGAAATGATAGAAACTTTTTTGATTGACATCCATCAAAACTCTATTTTTTGTTTGTGCTGCTGGACATTGTGAATAGGAATCAGAGTGACTGGACAAGACAGGACGAAAAAGGACAAGATGACATGACACAATATGACGCAACACAAGATAACTTTTAACACAGCACGAGACAAGCTAAGATGAATCAAGACTAGACACTTGAGACAAGACTAAAATCGAATCTAACCTCACTTTTTTTTTAATTTTGAGGAATCAATTCCCCAAGTAGGACAAGCCACAGAAAAAGCTTGACTACCATACCAGATGTCTATAACATTATTTTTAAAATGATTACCTTAGCTTCCTTGCAGTGCTGGAAAAGTTTGGCAGCTTTTTCGAATTTTTCTTGGTAAAAATATAAAGTCCCCAGATCAAATGACACCTGAAATGAAAGCAACAGAGTGTGTTACAACTACGTTTCTGAATGAAAGCAGGCAATAAATCTAATATGTGACGACTGTAATTTAAAAACCAACGTGAAAAATAATGTTTTGAACTGAGAATGAAAGAATGAGTTCAAGTGGTATTGAAATTAGCATTTTCTCGATCCAATGAAAACCTTTAGCATTTTTGGTTTAAGGATAAAACAGCTTATCTATAGGCAACTTTATAACAAAATATTATATTTTGTAGTTCCAGAAAATATCCATACCCCACCCCATGGAGGAAATTGGAAATTCTGGAAGGGAGGGGGTTCAGAGAAAGAACAAAATTACAGAGTTTGTATGGAAGGAAATTGGAAGTTTGTGGTGGGAGGGTTGTCCTTTTAAATATTATTACTTCCATGGAGAAAGTATGGATATTTTCTGCAACTACACATTTAAAGTTTGTTCGTCCATCTTCCAACCATTCCGCATCTGTGTTTTACTAACTGACACAGGTGCCTTGTTTGTAGTGTCATGTGCTATGTTTTGCTGGCTTCATTAGGCAAGTGTTTGTTCTCCTCCCCCCACCCCCACCCCCTAGGTTTTTGCCTCCTTCATGTTGTCACTGTATTCATGCCAAATGTGCTTGAATTGTACATGTTGTGATGCGTGTATTTCAACTTTAGTCATATCTGCTCTAGGATTTTAAACTGTGAGTAAAGTGATGTTAAAACAGTTGTCATGAATGGAATTTAACTGCATTACAGTTGATATTTGGGGGGCTTTCATTCATTAGCACATGGGGAGTGGGGGTCGGCAAAATTGTACTGGGGGTTATGGGGGGGGGGGGTGGGTTGGTTTTAGTTTGTAAAGTTTTCCATGTGATTTTTCCCACCCTCCCCTTTACGCTAATAAATAAAAAACCCCTTACAAAAGAAAAAGTTTCAAAATTACCTAAAGATGTAAAACAAAAAAAAACAAAAAATTGCAAGAAAACAAAAAATCAAATTAAAAAAATGCATCTATCAAATTATTGGCCATCTTCTCATTCTTTGTCAGTAGGGTAACTGAATTACTACATGTTTGCCAGTGACATGGTTTTCCACTCATATGAAAATCACTCCACTTGACTGATGAATAATAATCAACATACCTGTGCCTTGATGTCTGCTATTCTCACTGTTTCTACTTCATCTAGTCTTTCTTTCTTTAATTTATTGTCCTTCCCATCAGGTTCAGGATCATCAATCTTGTCTTCCGTATCTGATTCTTTGGCAGGTGTTTCTGTTGTAGCAGTGTTCTGGTCTAATGGACAAGGCAACTCAAGGTCTTTAGTAAGGTTCAGAGTATCCTCGAGGATGGAAATGCAAGTGGAGAGTTGTTCTTTAAGCTAGAAAACAACATTAGAAATAATGGAAGTTACCATTAGATGGAGGTGACTTGATTTTTAACAACCACATGTAACAAGTGACAAGTGGAATGTCTGCCATTGAAAATCATGCTTTTGTACATTAATTTATAACTATTTTATCCCAMATCATTGAAACATTTAGTGAGGATAAAATCTGAATGCTGCACTGCCTGATGGGAAGAAACAGCGATACTGCTGAAAATCTAATTTGGTTTTCATGCAATTTGATAGGTCATAATTTCAGGTTTTCAAATATATATTTATTCCTCTCATAATTTCCTATGGGGTGTGGAGGCTCTGCTACACCTCCTTGTCCTATTTAAAATTGGAATCACCTAAGGCATACACAAAGACTAACAATATAGACTTACATTTTTCAGTATTTCTTCATTTTCTGCAGCCTCCAACATGCTAATAGACAGAAAAAATTATAATTAAAAGTAGAGGTACTTTTTTTAATAAAATCTTATAATTTGGAATCAGTTTTTTTTCCTGGCAGCTAGTTCATTAAATAACGCTGCACTTAGATAATTACAAATGTTGTCAAAGTTGAATAGTTTTGCAAAACTCGATACCAAATTTCATAGTGGAACAAATGAAAAAACCAAACCTCTCTTTGGAAAACTTGTTTATGGATACTAATTGTACTTTTCAGAAATTGGGATCMCTGTGCTTTTCTTATGCTTGTTGACATTTGAAGGATTTAATAAAAGTAGTTCGCTAGACCTAGCTGGTACAACAAGCAATTATCCTTWTACTTTCCTYTCTAGTTTGTATCAATTAGTGCTTTATTATTTTGTTGAGTTTTGAAGCAAATCCTATGATAAATTTATTGTTTGAGCAAGAATCATTCAGAAGACCTTAGTGATTAAATACATCCAAAACCAAAGTTATGTTCGCCTGTGCACATGCTGAGTCCTAGACATTATCCCAAATCCAACATTTAGATTCAAATTCCTAGTAAAAATAAGATCTTCAGGGAGCTTTCAAGTGCTGAATCAGCTCTAGAAAGTAAATCTGGGTTTGTAAGGAGATGACAATGGATAATCAAGCTAAAATATTAATCTGCTAACATCTTAGTAAGCGAGTGACAGAATGGGTGACACATCTACATTGTCTAACTGCTCACAATAACTCATGCTTCCCATGAGTTAAAAGGAGAAATATATTGTACACTGTAGATTTTATCAATGCAATAATACTTCAACCCATTATTATCTATGTCAATATTGAATTCTTTTTAATTTGTTACTATTTGATTTCAGACAACATGCCATTCCCTTGAGTATTGTTYCTTTGCACAACAGGAATGCTAGGGAAAAGACATAAATATAGATAYTTACATTCCTCAAAGAAAGCATCTTATTCTCAAGGGAATGACACATGTTCTGACAAGCGAAAAACAATTATTTTCAAAAAAAATTCTTATATTTACTTAGTTTTTGGCTTTCCAATGTTTGGTAAAAAGTGCTGTGCTAGTGTCCTTATCACCCTTAAAATAAACAAACCAACATCATGGTAAATAACTTTCCTCTAAATCCCTCCCCCTAACCCAATCCCCCACGGATGAGAGGATGCTGACCAGAGTACACCCCCCTCCCCCTAGCAGTATCATGCAGGGTAAAGTTAACAGGAACCTCCCCCCACCCCATTCCCCCTGCCAGATAGGATATGCTAACCACAGAGTACAACCCCCTTCCCCTAGCAGAATCATGCAGGGTAAAGTTAACAGGAACCTCCCCCCACGCCCCTTCCCCACCCTACACCAGATAGGATATACTAACCACAGAGTACACCCCTCTCCCCCTAGCAGTATCATGCAGGGTAAAGTTATCAGAAACCTAATATACTGCTCAAACTCACCAGCGACAATATATAATAAGAGCCATGGCAGATTTTTCATTGAGTTCCTTGAGTGATACCAATCCATTCTTCACCTTTAATTAAAGACATTTAATTAACATTTGAATATCTCCAGGGTATGTATCGCTACAGCTTTGGCTTTTGACATGTACTATATACAGTACATACATGATATATCCAACACTACATGTAAGTCCTTTTCCAGCTAAAAATATCCTTGGATGCATCAAAKAGAACAAGGGAACTGGCAGTCTTAAGTGGTTGTTTCGATACCTCAAATGCATTCCTTCCATAAATTTGGTATCCTTCTGAAGGAGTTGGTCATGTATGACATGTTTAGATAAGTACTAAAGGGAGTGGTTTGTTGGGTTTCTCCATGTGTGCCGAACTGGGCTTGTAATGTATCCCTCCTCAATTMAAAAACCACTGTAATGTAATACCATAAGCTGCTRATTTTAAARGTTTACAAGTTATCTATTAACTTTGATTTATACCCTTCACTGATGGAATACAACATTTTTTCACATGAATTACATGATCCCTACTTACATTTTGGTATGATGGTGTTTGAAGCTTTAATAGTTCATTGAAAAACAGGTTTTGCCAGTGCAATGACAAACTAGAAAGAAAAAAAGCTCACACTCATATACTGTAATATATTGAGGCAAGGACAAGTATGTCAATTAATGCATTTAAGAATGAGTGGGTAGGTGGTGATCGTTGGATGGATTAATCACTGGATGGAAGAAGGATGTCCATAAATATCATTGGGATAAACAGTAATAGCTTTATAACATTCAAATTTTGTTTCACCAGTCCAAAATAAAAAAAACAATGGCAGTCCAATTTGTTTTATTTTGAGCCATTATTACAGCACCTTTCATAATTACCTGACCTCAACAAATTTGGCGCCAGCCCAAAACACAGGTTTTGGCTTCCGTCAATAAAACTCACGAAAACAACCAAATGAAATCTGAGTGAATCAAATAAATACTTATGATCTATGGTTTACAGTCATTTCCCCCACAGACCATTTTGCCCACACCAATTCGCCCATGCATAAAATCATCGCTACCACTGGAAATTACCAAAACAGAACTTCGATGACACTTGTTAAAAAGAAACATTTGAAAGACATTTGTATATGATTTTGAAGCATATTTGGAGCGATCATTTCAGGATCAGTAAAAGTGGAGATCTAAACGCCGCCAAGGACAGCGCTCACTTAATAGCTACCATATTGAGTCTGAGTCCGTTTCTACCAACTTATGACTCGGATGACTTTATTTCCCCATACTCTCATCTATGAACTGTGTGCTTTGGGTAGCTTTATCATTCTTTATCATTTTTTAACTTGCCAAAGTTCRAGAAAAATACAAAATACCTTATGCGCGAAACATCGATCGACAAGCGACGCCATATCGCTTTCGTGTAATCAACAAGCTTCCTAGTCGTTTACTGACGCTTTCTTTACCTAGAATCCATTAGACTTTATTCTTTTCACTAATAAAGTTAAAGGAAAAGATATGTGCTTTGAGATGGGAGATGTCATGTGTTGCTGAATCTGACATCTACAAAAAATATTAGACAAGCTTTTAGACAAGCTCACGAAAACAATAAGGCGTCGTTTGTCGATCGATGTTTCGCAGAAGGTATTTTGGTTTTTCTCGCTCTAACCTTGGCAAGTCAGAAGCAATAATATTAAATATGTCCTAAACATTCAATTTTTCGATGAAGAAGAAGGATATTGTAATGTTTTCAACAAACTTCTCTACGGGGACTAAAAACTTATTGGTAGCGAAAAGACTCGTATGAAACACCGTAAACTGAGCTCGATCGTTCCACTCAATCGTTAAGTTTTTGGCGTTCACATCAGATATTAAATGGCCTCAAATTTATTCCAGATAAAGTCACTAGATCATTTCGTCTTAGTTTTTTAGTGCAAATAATAAAGTCTAATGGATTTCAAGAAAAGAAAGTGTCAGTAAACGACTAGGAAAAGCTTGTTGATTACACGAAAACAATATGGCGTTGCTTGTCGATCGATGTTTCGCGCATAAAGTATTTTGTATTTTTCTCAAACTTTGGCAAGTAAAAAATAGTAAAGAATGATAAAGCTACCCAAAACACACATTTCATAGATTAGAGTATGGGAAATAAGGAAATAAATTCATCCGAGTCATAAGTTGGTTGACTCAATATGGCAGCTAAATGAACGCTGTTCTCCACTTTCACTGATCGTATCGTGAAATGATCGCTCCAAATATGCTTCAAAATCATTTACAAATGTTTTTCAAGAGGCTATGTTTCTTTTTAACAAGTCTCATCGAAGTTTTGTTTTGATAATTTCCTATGGTAGCAAAAGGACTTCATGATGGTAGCGAAAGGACTCTGGGTGGTAGCAAAAGGACGGTAGCGAAAGTGCGTGGTAGTGAAACGACCGGTATTCGAATAAAAAAGTTCGCATTTTGAAGTCTTGAGCTTAAGCGTCAAGTAGGGTTGGTAGGTACCGGTTGGTAAATCACGAACTACTTTTTTTTTAGTCATGGTAACATATTTCTTAAAGTGATTCTACACGTGGGCGAATTGGCAAACGCATGATCGATGATTTTATGCGTGGGTGAATTGGCGTGGGCGAAATGGTCCGTGGGCGAAATGACTGGTTACCTGATCTATATAGATTTAAATTCCGAAGGATCCTATTTGACCGAGAGTTTAAGCAAGAAATCACAGAGGTTCCAATCAGTTTGCATCAGCAAGCATGACTTTTGTGAAAATGTAGCATTGAGATTCACTACGTAGTTTCATACATTTTCGAGATGATAATATTTTGTGGTATTGTCATTTCAAACAGGTTTCTGATTGGATAACATATGACTAAAAGGAAAGCTTGAGCATTCGTGCGTCAAATTTTTATTATGCTTGTTGCTTGTGGCATAGAGCGTGCTCGTAAGGAGAATTTCGCTTTTAATCAACGAAAATCGGTCAGTTTATTTTCCTTTTTGTAGAATTGGGATGCAAAACCAATTACAATATTTTGAGGCAACAATACCACAAAATATTGATGGTGTTGGAATAAAATATATTCAGTATTGGGCTCCATCAGCTCACTTTTGAAGCATGACGCCAGTCCTAGTTCGATAGCTAATCTTAAGCACAATAAAATTATTTGTTTATCCTGATGTTTTATCTGAATTTCCTCACTTTTTTCCCCTAATCTATTTGGAATAAATCACAAGTTTGGCATTGCTATCAATTTAATCAGTTTGCATTCTGTTGTTAACGTGAGTTTGATTAACAGAAGCCAAAACCGGTGTTTTGGAGTGGAACCAAATTTATGTAATTTAATAATGAAAGGTGCTGTAATAACAGGGCTCAAAATAGGAAAAAAATTGGCCTGCCATTGTTTTTTTTATTATTTCGGAATGATGAAACAAATTTTGAACTGTAATTTATTTTTATGACATGCCACATGAAATAGACAAGACTTTTCACAAGATAAAATATTTCTATTTTTAGACTCCTGAATCAATTTTCTGAGCAGATATTTGTTCTGTCAGAGTACCAACATTAAAAAGTAAAATTATATGTACACATGTTGTCCACAAATTAAATGGATTGTCGTAACATGGAGAGCTTTGTCAAGGGACGCTCTGTCAACCAATAATATTTTTGAATGAAGGAGATTCAGTGGTGAATAGGAACAATTACCAGATAATTAATAAAATAGTGAAAGATGATGTCCAGTAAATTTAGCCTCCATTTCTATTATCTATTTGGCAGTTCATAATTTCATTAAGCAGGTCTGTTTTCAAACGTACCCTGCTATAAATTAAACTAAATTACAATACATTAAATACCTATAATTAATAATAAAAATTACAATTACTGCTTAACAGTAACCCTGTGACCACCTCATGGATGTATGTACAGTATGGTCCAAGGATGAATGAATGAATTGATGAGCGAATGAATACAAAGCCATTACCTTTCTTCAAAGGCTTCAAGGTTCCATTTCAAGTAGAAGCCAACCTGTAGTGCCAACTCCTTCAGGCGTTTTCCACGCTTATTATCAACTGATGGGGCAGCATCAGATGTTTGCTGTGTTAAATGGATAATAACATACATGAAAAAATTACTCAATTCTGATTGGCTTAGAGCAGTGTTGTTAAAACATAATTCAGTGCAAAAAAAGTGTAATTCAGTGTAATATGAAGAGTTTTAATGTATGTTTTTATATGAACCGTATTTTTACCACAATCAAAATAAGAAAATAAATGCTTTGGTACAGTAGCAACAGAAAGAAAATAAGCTGGAGATATATTAAGTTTAATTCACTAAACTATTCAAATTTGTGAGAACATGAACAACAAAGCCGAATGTGTCAGTTTAAAAAATAATTCTCTTACAATGTATTATTATCAATTTTATTAAAAGATCGCATATTCCTTTCATATTTAATGATGGCTTCAGTTCTTTAATGAAGAACATTTCATGAATATCAGGTTGAGTGAAATTTATCTCTCCCCCATTAGGCACACTGGAGCTTGCTAATTTTTCTCAATATTTTGTCTGCATTTCTGGATATATTTTGCATACAGGCTTAAACTCATTCAAGCTCCAAGGCCAAAATTTATCTATAAAATTACATCTATTTATCTGGAGTGCGGTCCATTACAGTTTACCTGCTGTGATGCTGTTATGCCTGAACRCTCTAGAAACTGAACAATCAGCTGTGATGCAGATGGATCTAAAAACAAAGGATTACTGTAAATAATAATTATTAAGTGTACTGTATYTCATTATCAAGGATGTCCAATTAAGCCAAAACAGAGAACTAGGGTTCAATTCATTTACAAACATGCCAAAAACAGAGTTTGTCATGCTATTGTGTGTGCTGTGTAACACTTATCATGCATTGGGTATCAGATTTATCACTAATAACATTCTATAAACATTTGTATCTCTTGAAAACAACAACACCTACAACTCGCCACACAACAGATTGATGACCAATCAAATGGTCCAAAAACAAAAGTTGCTTAAGGACAGTGCCTGCTAATTGAGAATCAATTATTTTTCTAAATGACTATAGTATTTTTTAGTATTTTAGTATTTTTTAGTATTTTAGTATTTTTCTAAATGACTACAGTATGTGAATTGTTTTAACCTATCAAAGGGTTGTTAAATTCTGGTTAGAAAAGTAGGGGTCACCATGCATTTAAAAGAAATAATAAAGCTTAAAAATCGTTAAAAAGTGATGACAATGATTTTATTAAACCAGAAGATGAAAAAAATTTCCAAAAGATTTTGATAAATTTCCATTCTAAATCACCCAAAATGACTGACACTTTGTTTCTTTACTAAAATATACCCCTATTACCATGACTTTAATAGTTGGCTATGATTATAATTTTTTATACTTGCCATTGGCTTCCACGATTGGGGGGACCCCGGGCTAGACTCGGGGAGATATGAGGGAAAGAGGGGTCTTATTCAACCCTTGCCTCATGCAGTACCTGGGGGGAATAGTGGAAGATAGATAAAATGTTCTGAGACCCCCTGGAAGCATTAGAGGTCTTTGTAAAGAGTAGTTTTCAATAAAGTATGGGACTCTAAAGGTCTAAAAAAGCAAATGGAGGTATAAACATTTAGATAATTATCAAAATTATACACTTGGATCATGCTTAGAGGTCCTCTGGTTCCCCTGTGAATTAAAAAAAAATCCAAATGCCTTTGTTTTAACATCTGGGATGGCACAAGAGAAGTTAGAAAAGCTTTTTTGGTGGATCTTTTTGCACACTCTTTTCAAAAGAAAGGTTGAACTTTAAATTGATTACAATATCTCATTGAAATCGAATCGCCACTGTACAAAAATTTGGTTTCAAAATACAATCTTATACTTCTCGCTTCTTTGAAAAACAGGGAAAGAAAAGCTTGGAATTAAAAAGAAAAAGAAGCAAAACTTTCAATGTGGATGAGAGTACAGAACGAGTAGTAGATGAAGATAAGTTTTGGAGGTCCAAAACAATAAATATGTTTATGTTAATTCCAAAGTCAGCAAAGATTTCAAGTCTGGATTCTTATAAAATTAAAGCTGTAAATGATAAAACGATCTCAAAAGGTACTTAGCATGAAACTTGTTGGATGTACACAGGCTCAGTTTTGTACTTTTTAGGTGAAATTAGAGATTCATCGGACTGGAGGGGCGAGCATTTGACCACTTAGTTGAGCCTGAATGGTGGGGCATTTGATCATTTGGCTGGCCTGCATGGTGTAGAATTTGACCAATTTTTTCCCAAGAAGTCAAATGCCCAGGGGGTTGCCTGGGGTTTGGGGGGTATGGGAACCTTTGGAATTGACTCATACATTAGCTTCGTGCTTCCTATTTTTCGATCATTAGGTACACAGAGATTGTGTCCATATTCTTTTCAAAACCAATTATTTTTTATAAATTTCATTTCANAAAATACAATCTTATACTTGTCGCTTCTTTGAAAAACAGGGAAAGAAAAGCTTGGAATTAAAAAGAAAAAGAAGCAAAACTTTCAATGTGGATGACAGTACAGAACGAGTAGTAGATGAAGATAAGTTTTGGAGGTCCAGAACAAATAAATATGTTTACGTTAATTCCAAAGTCGGCAAAGATTTCAAGTCTCGATACTTATAAAATTAAAGCTATAAATGATAAAACCATCTCAAAAGGTACTTAGCATGAAACTTGTTGGATGTACACAGGCTCAGTTTTGTACTTTTTAGGTAATTAGAGATTCATCGGACTGTAGGGGCGGGCATTTGACCACTTAGTGGAGCCTGCATGGTGTAGTATTTGACCAATTTTTTCCCAAAAAGTCAAATGCCCGGAGGGTTGCCTGGGGTTTGAGGGGTATGGGAACCTATGGAATTGACTCATACATTAGCTTCGTGCTTCCTTTTTTTCGATCATTAGGTACACAGAGATTGTGTCCATATTCTTTTCAAAACCAATTATTTTTTATAAATTTTATTTCACAAGGCTAATCTGACATTTACTTTATAATTTAAACAAAGAAAAAATGGGTGCAAATCTTACAGATGCATTTTGGGGGGAGGGGGGGCCTAGGCGACATGTCAGCAAAACTAGCTTAAATAAACATTTAAAATTGAAACAGTAAATCTATGAAAAATACTATAACTAACTTAAATTAGTGAAAAACCTTTTTTTTTTTTCTATTGGCACTGTGAAGAAGCAATCTATTTGAAGCTTTAATGTCGTAAGTGCAAACTCGTAGGCTAAAGTTCTTACATTACAGTAAATTTCAGTCCATTTTAATTTCTTTGCATATTATTTTGTGGCTAAAATTAACTAGAGAATGTGTTCTAAAAAGAAGCCAAGTTCCCAAGAAAATAACTAGGTGCAAATAATTCAGTAGTTGTTTTAAAACTGTTGACAATTTGTTTTAAAATTGTTGACAAACTATGCGATTTTTTGCTCAAATCAATGAAAGAGTCAACCACATTTTTGAGCTGAAACACGTACTGAGTGGAAATATTGCTCACTGCATTGAGAATGTGAGTAATGTGTGTGTTGTAATGAATATATAGCTTCATCTTACCTGCTGAAGGGTCGTTGAGATGGTTTTTTAGTAAGTCAGTCTTGTCAGTGAAGAGAAAGTCAAACCACGACAAACCACTCGTGCTGGCCGCCATTACGGCACAAGAAGAATATCACCACAGGTAGCCCAAAACATAGTTCTCCAAGAGCGGGAAATACCTCAATCACGCCCACTAATGATGATGATGATGCGATGATGATGATAATAATGACATTTGAACTCTTATCACTAGAACCCTAGTGTGAGTGCTACAATTATTAGAAACAGAGAAGAGACCCCAACTGGAGCTTGCAATTTTTTTCTTTTTTTTTTTTGTTTGTTTGTTTGTTTTGTTTTGTTTGTTGTTGTTTTTTTTTTGTTGTTTTGTTTGGAGAAGAATTTACTTAAACACTATTCCCATCTCAGAGATACGGATTAATGTAAAGATTAGGGATCATTTTTGTTGCATCTTAAAATAACGGATTGTTATCGGTACTTTGTTTTAGAGATATTTTAGAGACAATTTTATCCATAAAATTGGGATACGCATTATTTCCAAAATTCATCCAGGTTCAGACCCCCCACCCCCACCAAAAATAAAAAATAAAAAATGAAATTACGGCCACCCTCAGGTAATGCGCTTACGATTTGCTTCCCCGTGGGTTGACTTCGGAGAAACCCCCGAGGAACCCCTGGAAACGTTCGGGGATTCGTGCAGTTTTGTTGGTATTCGTTCTTGTCCCGCGAGATGTCCCGCGAGATATGGTACGACCCGCGCAGGATTTGTTTAACGTTGGTCAGCGGCATATTGTCACTTTTTTCAAGTGTGACCGTGCACAATCCTTTGCTTTACCATTGTTTTAACATTGTTGGCAATGGCTGAGTGAACAGACCAAAATCTTTCTTTTGGCTGCTAGTTCAAAATACTTAAAGATTTTTCCAAATAAACTTTCTATTGTTATGATTCGTATGATCAGTTAATCTATTTGAATGATGTATTATTATAATAAAACATTTATCGAATTTGGTTTTGATGATATCTGGAATTATCAATGTCTCTGCAAATGTTATTGGCCTCAGCCTACAGCTTTGGCCAATAACACTACCTTCGACATTGATAATTTCGAATATCATCGCAACCTTATCTAATGATTGTTTATTGTGCTCTGGCTTCTTTTACCCCAGGGATGGAGATTTTTTCGTGTATTTCATGCCCTTTAATTACCCTGAGGCTTTGAAAGTTTTTTGTTTGTCCACAAAAACAAATCCCTGGGGGGTCAACCCAAGGGGAAACAATTGATAAATACATAATTTTGTCAACTAAATATACAGCTATTCTAATAAAGGTTGAA